TACGGGTTAAACAGCTGATTGACATATGTTAAAACATGATCCGTTGTTGTTAGAATAAACCCCCCTTTAAATAGTCTTAAGAATTCGTTTTAGAACACAATAATAAAAGCTACACAAACAACAACAACAATGCACAATGCACAGTAAGCAAATTCAATAAACGCATCAGTAAATTTCCGACGGTGTTGCTATCAAATACCTACATTTTCATAGAATCTAACTAAAACCTGTAGTAATGATTATCCTTTGAAGAAACACAAATACTATCCACAACAGAACGATAATTATGAAAAGTTTGTTCGAAAAATCATCCTTTCTAGAATAAAATGGAATCCTCATAGTCAATAAATCAGTGGCTACTAATTTATCAAACGCATAATAATGTTATTATGTTCATAAATGTTATTAGCTAGGCTACAAAATTATGACTTATATGCTAACTAAGCTACATCATTTTTCCACATAGATCTAAAGTAAGTATACATGTTTTATATAAACCGAGCAATATTTGTCTAACATGGACTTGATTAGCGAAGGCTCTCAACGTCCCAGTTAAACAAGAGAGAAATTAGTTTACACTTCTCCATTTGATTGCTTGCTCTGTAGCCAAGTAATTATCCCAGTTTAGTCTTTAATAGTGAAATAGATCCCTTTCAACAACATTTAGAATACTAACACTTAAAATACTAGTGTTAAGGATATGCATGCGTTTTGAATGGTTGGATATCGCTGGTTAGCTGGCAGTAGTGCTCGCCTTGCAGTTAGAAGTTCACCAGTTCAATCCTGAGAAAAGAAAACCTTTTGGTAGCTCGAAACTGGATCACTGGTTCTTGATCACAAAAAAATTATCTTAGCTAAGGAATCAGCTGATTATAGTCAGTAACAAAGCTAATCTCATTCATTGATCTTTCATCCTTCATTGGCGTCCTAGTAGGGTAATTGAACAAATAAATTGTAAAATCCTAATGATATTATAAATTAGTTTTGTAAAATTCTGCAGAAAATGCTGGGAATGCTATTCAATACATAATTTCTTATTGAATTTAGAAAATAATAAAGTTGAAAGTTTTTGATTCAAAATGGGAATGAGGCAAAAATATGTCAAGCGTTTAAATAGCATACGCTCTAAAACTTCTTGTTGGACTGTTGTTTAGTTTAATAGGGGTTTTACAATGACCCATATACAAAAGATTTTTTACAATAAATGTATTTTTGGGTGTTCAATTGAAGGGTAAATTTTAACAGGTCAATATATATACAAGGTGTTTTTTTTAAAAACTTGCATCTTTATTTATGTAAAAACCGCAATAGATAGAAATATGCAGTTGGCGGGAATCATCTATTGACGTAGGGGGACCAATTGTTTTGAATTCAACGTTACATTCACATTCCCCCCCTTTCCCCCCCTGCCCCCAACTTATTTTTCTTAAATAGCAAGGTACCCCTTGTGACATATCAAATAAAAGAGCATAAAAAAAGAAAATGTTTGATGAAAAAAAATTGAAAATCGGTTCATAAATTTGTGAAATATTCCCCCCTCACCCCCCCGGTACTTAATTTTTTTTATAGCAAAGTACCCCTTGTGACATATCAAATGAAAGAGCATGAAAAAAGAAAATTTTTGGTGAAAAAAAATTTTAAATCGGCTCATGAATTTGTGAGATAATCACCCCCCTTTTCCCCTACCCATAACCTGTTTTTTAATAGCAAGGTACCCGCCCTTGTGACATATCAAATTAAAAATAAATTTCACCAAAATTTTTCTTTTTTCATGTTCTTTCATTTGATATGGCACAAGGGGTACTTTGCTATTAAAAAAAAAATTAAGTTCCGGGGGGGTGAGGGGGGGAATATCTCACAAATTTATGAACCGATTTTAAATTTTTTTTCATCAAACATTTTTTTTTCTCATGCTCTTTTATTTGATATGTCACAAGGGGTACCTTGCTATTTAAAAAATTAAGTTGGGGGCAGGGGGGGAAAGGGGGGGAATGTGAATGTAACCTTGAATTCAAAACAATTGGTCCCCCTACGTCAATAGATGATTCCCGCAAACTGCATATTTCTATCTATTGCGGTTTTTACATAAATAAAGATGCAAGTTTTTAAAAAAACACCCTGTATATATAAAATCCAATGTATGTTTGTTTGTATATTAAATTATAAGCGTTGAAATTGTTGAAAATGGATATGCCCTGACGCAGTACGTGTTTTTCAGAGAGGTACAATATGACATTTGACAATTTCTTTATTTACCCTGGTCTGGTTTGGACCATAGGTCCACTCTTACACCAGACCAGGGAGAGAGAAAGAGAGAGAAATTCTTTATTTATAACAAATCATTTTGCAGCAACACATACAAAAATAAAAATATCACATGGGTCATAGTGAACTGTGCATGACTGGCATGACTGGGCATGACTGTGCATGTGTAGTCCTTAACTGGCTGCTTCATCAAAATAAAAGTTCTTCGAACTTCACTTAATACACATAAAAAAGATCTTACAATAACCTGGTAAAATAAGCATACAAATTAATTTACTATACAATTGTAACTATAATAACCTAACAACCACATGCAACGTGCAACTCAATAGCTTGGGGAGCTCATTGCTGGGCATTATTTGTTGCATTTTCACCTTCCATTTAGTACAATATTTTAAGACTCTAGTTTCTAAACGAGTTTGAGATTACCAAGTAGGTCATAGTAGTAGTAATAATAATAATGATAATAATAATATACCCTTCAAAATATTTATGGTTTTATGTAAAGTGATGCTAAGTAAGATATTCCTTCTACACCGAAGACAACCTCGTAGTAAGTTTCATATGTTATTACAAGCAAGCTGTGGTTTTAGCTTAATTTCCTCTCGTTATATACACCTAGTATACCTCTAGTAAAATGTTAGGTTAACAATTAATTACACAAATTAATGAATCAAAGAAGATTCCTCGAGGCACAGTAGTCTATTCACCTTTCCCTATCTCTGTTATCTCACATTTCTTGGAGCTAAAATTAGGCACAAACTCAGCAAATTAATTTAAAAAAGTGGATGGACAGGGACACCAATGTGATATTTCACTATGATATGTCGTAATAACATTGTGTAACAATATGAAGTGGTTTTGATACTTAAGATCCGAGTAAATTTCAGGCTTTAATTACACATTTATGTTCTAAAAATCATTCGTATGCTTAATGTACACTACAAGGATATTTTAACAGAGCATCGGCCATGAAATCAAATATAATGCGGATTTAAATTCAGATTTGTCTGGATTGCTGCCACATTATTATCACTGGTACTCCACAATGGAAAGTTTAAGTAGAATAATTGACCTTAATACACGTTGGGGCCATTATTTGCAGGTATTTGATTATTATACTTCAGTGACTATTGGATTTAATTTGTGCGTATAAAACAACACAGAAAGGTATTGGTTTAGAATTTTCTACATCGCTGAATTATGTAAATAAAGTAATACAGTACAATGTATTACAAATACAGTATACTGTAGTGGTAATTTCTTGCAAGGGTAACTATGGATTTGATAAATTTTTAAATTGGGTTTTGCGAAAAACTATGAAAAAACTATGTTTTTGTATCTGTTTATTTTGTGTGTTCCGTTCGTTGGAGTCATTTTCAATTTGAAAAAAACTCATCAAACCGGTTTTGTAGAAGAACCACTGACTTAAAATGCAGATAAACATTTTATACCTAAAAACCAAACAGTGTCAACCTTTCAGCCTTCGTGAATTTCATAGGGTGAAATTTGTAGCTTATAGTCTAAGATGATTCCACCAAACACTTGAGGAGAAAAAGTGATACCTCCATCATCATCTGTCTAGTTATAATAATTTTACTTGTTTTTTTTTTAATTTGTAAAAAGATTCTCAACTCTTTGTTGACTATTGTGAAACAACTGGGCCAAGCCTAGTGAATTATTTTCAGGGCAACAATTGGTTATACGCTCTGAAAATAACGTCACAACATGACAGTATTCATAAAATTTAAACGTTGTGGTCCCACCACTGTAATTTAATGAACTACCAAAAACGGCTTGTTCTATCTGAGCAAATCAAAAACGTTTTCTCTGATTTAGTGATGCACTGATTACTGATTACTCAGCCTGTTCCATACGGGTGATCAGCGAAGGATTTCTTTGATCTTCAACTTTCACTTTAGAGCGTAACGAAACCCAACCAACATGAATAAGTAACGCTAAAACACCAGCTTGATATTCATAATCTAGCTTATTAACTAACAAACGAAATAATCATTACTTCCATACAACCATCACAGATTTTATTGTATCTGTTACAATATGGTAAAATCAGCCGTCATGTTTTATTTGAGTTTGCAACAATTCTTGGGCGTTGTGCCTAAAACACTAAAAATTCCCTTTTGAGAAAAGTAAGAAAGATCAGTTAACAAGTTTAAAAAGAAGTTGTGGGGAGATTGAATGATAACACACCAGAAATATATGGGGTTGAATTATTGTTCTATGTCTGAAATTTAAAAATAAACCACACACGAAACAAAAAATATTGGCTAAGTGTTTTTTTTTATAATTAAATTAAATAGTAATTGGTAAAATATTTTAAATTCAAAAGAACAACTATAATACTATTTTAATATCTAGCCCCAAAATCAATACAGTACTTTACGCTAGTCAAAAATGTGATATTTTCTTGTTAATTAAAGTTTAAACCGTAATATAATGTTAACATGTATTACAATAGTGGTTTTTTCGAAACAAAAATAATTATATTGTGCGTATTGCCTTCCTGATTTACAAGCTATCTACGGTTAAGTTACCATTTTCTGTCCAAGTAAACCACAATTCATATACATGGTGAGCGGTTTCGACGTCTTTGGTGTCATTTTCAAGCCGGAAATTGTCAAAACCGCTCACCATGTATATGAATTGTGGTTTACTGAGACACTAAAAGGTAACCTCATGTAGATAAAAATAATTGATTACAAATAATGAACCAGGATGGCATCCACTGGTCCACATAGATGGGAGTATCCAGTCAATGCTAGAAAAAGTCGAGTTCAATCACAAAATATCCTCTATAGTCTGTATGAATCGACCTCTGTTCAGCTGGGGACTGGCCAAAGGTTCTCACCCAGGTAGAAAGAAGGTGGATCAAGAGGCATTTTCCATCATACACACTAAAATCGCTAGAGCGGCCAGCGTCCAGAAAAATAAGGTTCTGATTCAGTAATTAGGCATCCTAGCTAATGAGTTGTAACTTCAAGTTGTGTTTTTCATGCTTTATTGGATACATTGTTTGAGAAGTGTACAATGAAGATTGCGTCTCTGCACCGCATGTGTAGGTGTATTGGCATCTGTTATCTTGTAGCGTATTACAGGGACTTCTTAACAGGTTGTAATTGGCAGTGGAAGTCCCGATTCGTTATGCCAGTGTCTTAGTAGTGAAGAACGGAAATCGCAGCCAAGCAATACTGCCAAGTCCAGAGGAGCAGCCTGTAGATGCTCATCTGATGTGTGTTTGCTGCTTGAGGCCATAGATTTCATCGCCTTCTTCGAGATGATCCAGTGTCTTCGTTCACTGAGTCCCTTGGAGTTGGTCCACTTCATCCGATGGACTTAACTTCCCTCCTCGCCATAGGCTAGAAAAATCATACAATGATTAGTACTGTGTACACTTACAATCAACATAAGACATGTTGCATATATACTGTGTACTGTAGTGTTCCTAAATGAAACTATCAAGATCTCTATCTAGAAGGTCCCGATGCTGGATATACCTGGCCACTGACAATTGCACAACTTCCTGATCTGTAGCAGCATTTTCTTTTCGGAAGCTGTCTAAATTGCCAGCAACCAGAGTCGAAAAGTGTGAGAACTATCTGGATAACTGACGAACGAACATTTTTCTACGACGCAGGTACTTTGTATGTTTTGTCGTTAGTTTTTGTTGTTATTAGTTTTGTTTTGTCTTTGTATATTTTGTTGACGGCGTGAAATAATGTTGAGATTTTAAAGTAATTTATAAAAGAAACATATGCACTTATCTTTTGGTTGTAGATCTCTCCGGTGTGAAGTCCCAGAAGAGTTTGGAGATCCTCAAGACCAACGACGGGGTTCAAGAATGAAGTTCTTCCAGTTGACCTTTGAGTGAGACTCCATTCTTCGGTTGCATCCAATAAATCTCCTAAAAATGAAATATAGAATTTTAAAAATAATTTAATATATTTTACTTTTATATTTTACTAAAGTAGTCTAATGAAAAGTGGACGATGTTTCAGGATATTATGTAAACTAGGTGAACCAACGTGTAGGAAAGGTCTCTTTCTTCCTTGGTTCCACAAGAACGAACACACATTTGATCAAAAACTAAGAAAGATTTATCAGGATTACCATCACCACTACCTTTACCAAGTTAGATGGGGACAACGTTAGTTATACTACCATATAGGTAATTCCTATATCTTACCGAGGATAGTTGAGATGGCTTCATTGTGAGATGGAGGTCCACGGGCAAAGATTGAAATTGATCCCTTCGAAATGTTGACCGAGCCTGTCTTGCTTTCGTATTTATTTGTACTTGTTTTGTTTTTAATTCCAGCAACAGCAATTTTGTTTTGTCCGTCGAGAAAATGTTAGTTTGATGTTTGTGTTAGTTTCCATGGATACGAAAATAAATTCCTTGCAGTTTAATAAATACACCTCAGTATGACTCTTTTGTATACAATCACTTTTAAACATTTAATTTGTTTGTTTACGTTTATCCTATTACTACACTTTTAAGAGTAAGTCACCTACTAGCTTTTGAGCACTTGTTATGCTATTGCAGTGTCTATTTTGAATCATACGCCTGCATATAAAGAATAGGTTTTACAGTGTGTTCAGAACGGAGTTGAGGAAACTGTCGTACCATTCGCGTCATTTACCAGGAAACCAATAACAGTTCATGTTTCCGAACTCGGTAAAACTGAACCACACTGGAATGAGAGATTAGGTTAGCGATAAACGGGCCAGCTTTGAATTTAAACTACTATAACACACTTTACTCCAGTTCCTATTAATTGCAAAGTTTAAACCCATAAGATATTGTGTGCATATGTTTACCATCCAAAGTTAAAAGGTTAAGGCTACTAAAAGGTGTTATTCTTTTACATTTTATCTTCTAAAAAATGTATAACGTAATTGAAAAAATTAATAGTTACGTTCCGTATTGCTCAAAAATATTATTTGCTAGTCTAAATTTGAATTGCGTATAAATTGTGAATATCATAATTACCAAAAATGTTATTTTGAAATGTTTTTCCTTTTTATAATTTGAAGCACAAGACAACAAACAATACTAAACGAAAAACCTCGTTACTAACAACGAGTAGGTTTAATGGAAACAGAAAATACATTTGTTTGCTATATTATGGGTTAGTTCAAAAGTATTGTTTTACATTGTTTCTGATTGGCCATAAAAGAATGGAGTTTAGAAAAACAAAGGTTAACCTCATAAACCAAGTTGTATTTTCTATTAAGCTTTGTACTCTCCTCTCTTGCAGCCCCAGGATAAGCAGCTTAACAGGTTTAGAGATCACAAAGGTTTTACGACTGACCAAATGTATAAACATATTTCTGGACACAAAGTACAATTATGATTCGTCCACTTTCAGCTTCTATCCAGGCTAATAAAAAAAGAATGCTGTTTTAACATGGTTCGCAAATAAAGTAAGTATATCTAATTTTCATTTAGTCATTTATAGCAATGTCTATGTTTACTGCATGGATATTTTCTCGACATTAAAGAAGAAAGAACATTTTTGCAACAAGTGTATGTTATATTCTTCAAATACATTTGACATATCTTATTTCGATAATATTTTGGGTTCACGTTCTATTTAAAGAAGTTACTGTTTTATTTCTCAGTTATTTACACGGGTGGATTTTGATTACTAGGTACTTCTATTTTTTTTCTTCACTTGCAAAAGGAGGAGCAGCTTTAAGTGTACCTTAACTAGAGTAAAATTTTGTTTTAAACCTAAAATTAGAATAGAAATGTGGAGTGTTTACAACATTTTGCCTTTGTTTAAGCTTATCCTCTATAATACCTTCACTTTTCTATTAGTTATTGCAATTAAAACATTAGGCCTATTATTACCAAACAGGTTTACATTTTCTTTAGCTAAACACGTGATAAACCGCCTATTTATACAATATATTTTGAAGTTTTACAATTAAGGAGTTTTATTATGTGTTTGCGTTATTACAGATTAAACATACCTCCTCTATTAGTCATACGTAGTTATATGAATGCACTGAGTTTTGTTGTTCACTAATCGTTTATTATTGATTCAACTTAAGAGTGATTACAACTAAATAGAACCGTCTATCTGTAAACTGTTGTATATTTATTCGACATCAACTCATTCCAATGTTGCCAGAAGACAACATATAACAGGCTTTTAACTTTACAATAAATCTGATAAGTATAGTTTACAAAGTAAATGGTTAATATCATCAAATAATATCAAAACATATCAATCATGAACAGGAAAATACGTAATTGTTGTCTAATTCAAGTAAACAGCTGTTTTACTCATGTGTTTGCAACAATCAGCTGTTATTTCTCTTCCAGACGGAATGCTGCCAGTCAGTGCATGTTGTTGTTCAGTGCGTTGTAGTATTTGTGTACAAATTAACTTTTATTGTTTGTTTTAATAGTGTTAATGCTTTGTTTAGCTTTTGTTACATGGTAAATTAGTCAAATATTTATAAATGTGCTGGTGTTAAATGGTTAGTGTTTTGTGAGTGGAGAGATATCTGAACTAGGATGACCCATTGTGTACAGTGGCATTACATCTTCATTCCGCATTGTGACAATATAAGGTAATTTCAGTGTATTTATGTAAATTTAAGAAGTATTTATATTAAATATTCTAATTAGTTGAAGATTATTTTATGTAAAACATATCTAAACGTTTTGAAATATATTTTAGGTTTTTTTGTGGATTTTGTAAATTTATATGAAGTTTGTTGTTAGACAAACTGCCACAATTTAGTTCAGGCTAGCTCAGTTGGGCTGGCGTGACTTGCCATTGGCCAGTGTGGTGTTATACTACGATTTTAATGTTAAATTGAATAGGGTGCCACCTTGTGATATGGGAAAGTTGTCTGTCAATTGTTACAAGGAACTGTAATCAATCTAATCGTTATATCAAGTGATAAAGAATGTTGTTAATAGATATTAGGGTTGCCCAGTTAAGAAACGGTACTCAATTTCTCAGTAGTGTTGCATGTTGGTCTTCATCAATGTAATCCTGTAATATCAATTCGACCACAATCTACTTTTGCTTGGGTACCCTTAACATTTATTTAAATCATATTTCCTTATCACCAAAAGTTAAGATATTTAGAACTGGTCTGCTACAAAAACTATTCAAATTATTTGTACTAAATATATAACAGCAGGAATGTCAATACAAATTCAAAATCCATATAATAAGCTCTGCGTGGACTTAATTTAGTTTCTTTAGGGTACAGCAGGCTATCTTTATACAGTTCATTTCATGGTCATCTGAACATTGAAGCCGTGCCACTTATGTTCATAAGTGAGGTGATAAGGCACACTAGGAATTTAGCTGAAAACAAGAAACTAACGTTACAAAAGAACAATGTTTTCTTAATACGTAGATAGATCAGGATGCGGTTCTCTTCATTTATCATTCACTCCAATTATTTTGTCACTCGTCATTTTCGTGTTATTATTATTTATATGTTAAAAAAAAAACCTGTAAACCTTAACCTCCGTGATCTTAAAGTTATTTTTTGTAAATCCTGAGTTAAATGTAGCCGTGCGATTAGCTTACGCTACATAAGGCATTGAAAGATGTTTCTTAAGTGTCCATTTATCAAGTCTGTAACGAAACTGAGTGAAATAAATCACCTAGACTGCTTTATGGTTGTTTATAATTACTTAACCATAGTTTTCACGGTATAACACTGTTGTTTTTACATGAAAGTAATAAATACAACCCTGGACTAAATCACAAATATAGGTTAGGGGAAAACCTGCTTACATCTAATAAAAAACTGTTCTTCGTCAATAAAAATGTGTTTAAAATAGTCATCTAATTAGTTACAATTTTAATTTTGTTTGAAAGGTTCCTAATGTTTGTGCTTCATCTCAAAATTTACATTTTACTCAATGACAGGGTTTTATAGCTATTCCAGGTAATACACTAAAAACACCGATAAGTAAAGCACATATCTTTTATATTACATTATAAGTACAATTTACATTATTTTGTCTCACCTTTGAATATCTAAAGTCACGCTATCTATATTAGCACTATCGTTACAAAGTTAAACATTAAGGTTTGAATTCAACAGTCACAGATTAAGTAGAGAACGCAGGATTGACTCCAGGTTAATCTAAGGAGCTTTTCAAACCTGTCTATTGTTAGACTCCAGCTTTTGTTGTCACCTATTGTGCTTCCATCGTGACTTGACTAAAGTGTCTTACTTTTATTAATTTCTTTGAAAAATTATTTTGAAGAAAGATCGTTTTATATGCTGGAAAAAATTACAGTACATAATCATGGTAATCATAAAATGATGTAAAATATGTCTGAAAAGGGTCTGGTAACAGAATTTTACTTTTTAACCATTGCAGATAATGCAACAAAGCTTTGCACGTAAGTACTATATCAATAAATCTACTTTTTGATGAAAATCAAAATGTTATACAAATCGTATTAAAGAAGGTCCACAAAGAAACTCATTGAAATATTAAGAGCATAGGACGAATAGTGTAACATTGTAAAGGCCTTTTAGAACACAGTGCAGCAAATCCGACCTCAAAAGGCTCGTCCCGGTGACTAGAAATATCAAGGACAACATGTTGTAGTTTGTAATCTTAACTCAATTTTTTTTTTTTTTTTTTTGCAAAAATGAACATTTTAGGTCGAGTTTGCGGCTCTGTGTTTTTCAATTGAGACATTTTATAAGGATTAATGGATCCTGATGAACTTATCGTACTAGGATTTCTATACTGATTCATGTAAAAAAAAAATATCCTAAAGGTAAGAGTATTTTTAATTAGACATAGTTTATACAGAAACCTCAAACTATGCTTAAGTTTCCTGAATTTCTTATATTCTTAAGTAAAGAAAG